TTGGAGAGGACCCAGGTTCAATTCCCAGCCCACATGGTGGCTAACAACTGTCCATAACTCCAGTTCCAGGGGATCTGACACTCTCTCTGACCTCTGAGGGCACTGCACCACACGGGTGCACTTACATACAATGCAGGCAATACACCCAATCACATAAATAAAAAAAAAAAAATTAAATTTAGAAGCTAAAGGAATTACTGCTTATCAGTCCTTAATGTGTCTGAATACTTACTTGAATTGAGTCAAACCCACTGTAATCCCTAGCAAGCTTCAACAGGGGAACCAGTGCTTTCAGTAAGAGGGTGGTACCATGTCTACAAAATGAAACGACTCTTGGAGACAAACATGCTACTCTCACTGAGTACATGTGCTTCCTGCTTGTCAGTTTTTGTCACTTATGATTGAACATTGCACATCCTTCAAAAGGACATCCCACTCAGATCTCAGGATAGTGGGAAGATCCCCAGATTCCTGGCTTGCATCGGACTACTGCCTGGAGAACCAAACCTCCAGCAGCTTCTCTGTCCTTTTGAAAAAATGTGCAGCTTCCATCACCGTGAGACTAGCAAACAACCAACAACCACAGAAAATCAACTGAATTAAATCTTTTCTCCTGCCGCTGCCATGGATTGTTCCTAAAGTTTAGGTTCCTTTTTGGGTTTTTTGGGTTTTTTTTTTTTGTTATAATTTTATATTCACTTTAAAAAAAAAAGGACTAATAAAATTTTCCCAGCTATTTTTGTGAGAGTTGGGGAAATAGAGGCAGATACAGTTCAGTCTCTTGTAGTCTGCCACTTTCCCACTAGAGAGTTGAGCGAGCGCTAGCTAATGTCACCAGCCATACTGTGTAAGCCAAATAAATAATTTTTTAATGAAACATACAAATAGTTAACATTCAGAAAAACAGACTAAAAGAAGAACAGGAGAGAGAGTAGGCCACTGTAGACACGTGTTCATCGCCTTGGCTTGACTTATTTATTTTTTTATTTGTGCTTTTTTTTTTTTTTTGTCTTTTTGAGACAGGGTCTCCCTGTAGCCCCAGCTGTCCTGGAACTCACTATGTAGACCAGGCTGGCCTTGAGCTCACAGAGATCCAACTGCCTCTGCCTCCCAAGTGCTAGGATTAAAGGCGTGCGCCACCACGCCCAGCTTATTATTTTTATTATGTGTACGACTGTATTGTCTGCATATATGTGAGTTCATCCGTGTAGTGCAATGCCATGGAGGTCAGAAAAGGGCATTGTATTCCCCTGGAACTGGACTCAAGAATGGTTCATAGCCACTGTGTTGGTGCTGGGAATCAAACTTGGGTCCTCTGCAAGAGTAGTCTGTGCTCTTAACCACTGAGCCATCTCTCCAGCCCCTTGTGCTATTATTTTTGAGATGCTGGGGCATACACCCAGAGCCTCACACATGCTAGGCATCCTCAGCCCTACTGGCTTGATTTTGTGTATTTATGTAATTATTTTAACAGTGGGATGGGAATGTCATACGCTTCTTTTAAGGCTTTTTTTGTTTCTTGAGACAGGGTCTCACTGTGTAACCCTGGCTAGCCTAGAGCTTGCTGTGCAGACCAGGCTTGCAGAGATCCACCTGCCTCTGCCTCCCAAGTGCTGGGATTAAAGGTGTGCACCACCACACCTGGTGCATCCTATGCTTCTCATTAAGTTCTTGGAATGGAGAATTGTTTATAATTAATCAAATATATAAACTAAACTCTAGACTACTTCTATGTATCTTAAAGAATAAGTGTTTTTAAGTGTAGATACCACTTTACCCTTAGTCTGTTCTTTACCAACCAAGGCTAGTTACTGCATACAGTACCTAGAATTAATTTATTGATATATTGGTTAAAGTATCATGGAAGTCTATAGTATCATTTCGAGATGTGTTATGGATACAATTTTTTTTTAATTGTTATGGTTTTCATACAGTGTAATTTGATGGTATTTATATCCCCTCCTCTATCCCCATACCTTCCCTTACTGCCCCCCACCCAATCTAATGTACTCTATTATATAGAAATAGACAGACAGACGGACAGACAGACAGACATAAAATAAAGCCTATAGAGTCCAGTTTGTGTCCCCAAATGCCCTTCAGTGTAGGTCTATTCACTGGAACCTGGTTAACCTACCAAGAGCTCCATCCTTGAAAGAGAGTGTCTCTCCCCCTCCCAGCAGCCATCAGTTGCCAAAATTTCCTTCTGTTGGTTTGGGATTTTTTACCAACTTCCCCATATCAATGCTGAGATTTGAGCTTGCATGGGACTTGTGCAAATTGTCACCATTGTTGTGAGTTCATATGAGTAACTGACCAGCTGTCTAGAAACCTCTGTTTCCTTGTGGTCATCCACCAACCCTGGCTCTTATAATCTTTTCACTCCTTCTCTATAATGATCCCTGAACCTTGGGAGACAGAAGTTTGATATAGGTGGATATGGCATTTTTTATGGGTTTTGTTGGGGGGGTTGGTCTTTTTGAGACAGGGTCTCCCTGTAGCCACAGCCTGCCTGGAACTCACTATGTAGACCAGGCTGGCTTCCATCTTACAGAGATCTGCCTGCCTCTGTCTCCTGAGTGCTGGGATTAAAGGCATGCACCACCACACCCAGCTATATGGCATTTTTTTAATGTGGTGCTGGTGATTGAACCCAGAGCCTCTCATATACTAAACATATACTCTACCATGGTGCCATACCCCAGACCCCTGTCAGCACTTGTCTGTTATACCATCACAGATCTAACTTGGTGTTGCCTCAAATAACAAACATTTGAAATTGCTGATACATTATGTATCAAAAGCAAGCTGAGAGTGGCTTCTCATATTTTTACATGGCTGCTTTTGAATGTAGGCATTTTCTTCCTATTGTTTTATCAAGTTATATATGGGAAAATAAAAACATAAAAGTGTTATTTAAGCTTTCTGTACTTCCCAAACATGCCTAGTAGCAAAGAGAGAAAGTGAACTGCTCATGTCCTTTGAATGTTTACCCAGCGTCTTCTACAATCTCATGTCTGATGTGAAGTCACTGTGTGAGCAGAGCTAAGCCATATCATTCTTACCTCACCGTGGCTCTGGATGCAGCCTGCATCATTTCCCCTCTCATCCTTAGCCTGGGCTTTCACACTGATTGCCGCCTGTCCTTAAATGTCTCTCAGCTCACCTGTGTCTGCACTGTTCTGTTCCCCCAGCACATCCCAGCTTCC